TCTCTCTCGTTCGGGCGGGGTGTGTCGACGACGAAGCTTCCTGGCTGGGCAACTCACCTGACAAGCACGACCTGCTTCTTCGTTGAAACGAGCGGAATAACTTCTCGATCGCGCGCGTCGAAGGTCGACGACGACTCGGGGAATCGGCGTGTAACAGCAACCAAGATCGCCTCCATAAAACACGCACGATACGAGTGCAGCTGGTGGAACATCTCGTGTGGGAAGTGATACCGCTCGTTGCTTGTAATTTACACTCGCTGGGCGTAAACCGACCGCGCCGCATCGATTCCACGAAGGTTCCCAGGAAACGCGCTCATGCTACTTTTCAAAATTGATGATCCAGGCGATGGTATTCTGCTGTCTTATAGACGTGTGCACGTGTATGTATATCATAAATGCTTTGGCATATGAATTTGTTTGCATATCGGAATAAATTCGGGACGTGTACTTCTTGTCTAAATATTCGCGCCTGACCTGGTTGTTCGAAAAATGGCAACTCCTCCGTCTCGGAGCAGCTCGAGCTGATATTTTGTAATATATCGATATATATGTTTTATGAATAATGATAACAATATAATAAATAATTATGTAAGGAAATATGCATAAAATAAATAATAATTAATAATATAATAGTATAATAATGTTTCTCATATAATAACCAACAGCCACACGAGGCGCAAACATTTACACTATGCCGATATAAATTCATGCGTTAAGGCATTTATGACTCCGCGTGTATGTACATAAAATTTTAGCACACCGCGTTATACAAAAAACATTTTTAAAACGGCAGTCTCTTGCTTGCTAAAGCTACGATTTTTGTCCAATTTTCCTCGAAAGAGTCGGACAAAAATCTCGTTCAAGTCGACCGGAAATGCTTTAAAAAGTTCCGCGCGAGCAACGCCGACGGAACGCCGGCAATTAAACTTTTTCACCATCTAGCGACAGAGAAAATTGGAAATTTGTGTCCCCGCCACGACCGCCTACCGGCGTCTGCGAAATTTTATCAATTAAAATATCGTTAACGTCCGCGCCGCCTAGCCGAGACGAGCTCGTTAAAACGCTTCCGCGCTCGCGCAGGATAACTGCCTAAGTGAGCTCTTTCTTGTTCTAGCTTGAAACTTCCGCCGAGTTCTTGAGAATAGACTGAGTTTAGCTCCGATCTTTTCATGGCGCGACCGGGACAGATATAAATCCCCAAATATGACGTTTGATAAAACGCTATTTGGAACTACCTGTATAATTAAAATAAATTAAATTTTTAGTCATGAGACTTTGTATGTGCAACAAGAGAAAAGCTGAATATTTGATTTTAATTATAATTAAATGACGAACTGTATTTTATAAAATTGTTAATGCGAGCAAAATACATATGTTTTAAATTATTTTTTTATTTACTTAATTTGTATGTATTTTTTAAAGATATTTAAAGATATATTATCTACTAATTTCAAACACAGTCAATATTTTCACGTTTACTTGCTGGATTACGCCGCATGCTGAATTCAGATTAAACATGAAAATTTAATTAATTGGATTGAATATTTAATATTATAATTTCACAAAGATAATAAGAATTTGTTTGCGGAAAATAATATATTAACACTTTGGCAAAATAAATGTTGTTCATAATACAAGAAAGCTGGAAGTCCATCCATATTTTACGAGTTAATTCTGATATATTAATTATGACCTAGTATGAAATATTTAAATATTAATATACCTCATAATATACCTCTGTATGTAGAAAATGTTAATATAGAACGGTTCACTTCATCACAAAATATATTTTAGCATTGCAAGATTATTATTATCGTGTTATTATTATATAATAAAATTTTACATTAATATTTACAAAAATTACTGACCTTGTTTATTATTGAACCAAGGCACCAAGATTTCCTTCGGCTTGGGAATGGAGGCTGGAAATTATTCCCATCGTAACATACAGAGAATGTATCAGGAAGCCGGGTCATTTTCCAAAATTTCATAGCAACGTGCGGGTCGCAGAGGTTAATAGGATGGCACGAAATTCAGACGGGGGGAGTGCAAGAGGTGGTATCGTGGCGGCACGTAAATCACGGCGATCGTCGGCGTTCCTGCGCGCATGTGTTTCACGTGTGTGAGAGTTATAGCGCGCTCGCGCGCGCGGCCCGATGCGTGAGCGTGCGTTCGTTAATAGGTTTGCACGTGCGTGTCCCTAAACGTAATACCGATTTTATCTGCCCCCTCGTCTACGCGCCGGCCCCGGCCGACGGACGTGAAGGGTAGACCGGCGGCCAGACAGTTTGATCCAGGTTGCGAGTATGGTTGCGATTCCGGAAGTCGAATCTGTAAAATCGTCCGGTCGGATTGATCGCCCGATCGTTAAAAGCGGTCGGGCGTATCCGTAAAAATGAAGCCCCTCCTCCGCTCCCCGCCCCCCTCCTCCCCCCCCCCTCCGACCGTCGGTGACGGTGCGTGGCGCGCTTCCGCTATCCTCGCGCCGCGGAGGATAATCGAATCCGGATAATTTCGCTTCGCTAATGAGGGAGGAAGGGGGGAAGGGGACACCGCGTAACCCGCGATGTAAAATACTGCGGCGCGTGCACTGTAAACAAAACGCGATACGGTAATAGTCCATGGAGGATATTTTACCTGGGTGCCGCCACCTCTCTCCGCGGATTAATTGAATATCGGAGTTATCGATGTTGTTTCGCTTGCGAAGCCTTTGCCTCGAATTACAAAATGTAATGAAACGCGATGCGTATCTCGTCATGCGGTCAGTTTTACATGATATAACATGTATGAGAAATAACGTTTATTATTTATTACTTATGTACAAGTAGATTTCCGCTTTCTCGTTACATTTGTGTATATTACACTTTACACGCAAAACAGTTCGCCGATAATATATATTTATCTTCTGTCGTTTAATTAAATATACCAACATGTAGTGATGCCAGTCAGTATATTTGCGATAAAAATATCTTATCTAATCTTTGTATTTATTCCGAATACACTTATAAATTGTTTGTAATATAAAAATTTTATGCTAGTTATGCTATCGATATGAAAATCATTCCTTCGCTTTTTAATAAGAGTATTTGGAATTTTACAATTTTGTTATTATACAATCTGAATTATTATTATTTATTTACAATATTATTATTATTTTATAT